CTTAACTAAAATGATCTCCTGTCTCTTGTAGACCCACTGCATCAGAATGGATATTTCTGTCAATTGAAATTCTCATAACCTTATCCAAAGACACATGTTTGTGCATATGAGGTCAAATTTATTAGTCAATTAGAAATACAATAATAGCAGGAAAGATATAGAAGGGGACTGACAGGAAATCCCTTAGACAGAGTTTACAACTTTACAGAAAAGAAGAAATTACAATTATAATAAAAGAAGGGCATTTTATCTTCATAGAGATGATTCCTAGTCCTTGAGAAGATGATTTGCAAACAGTCCTGGTCTCATTTGGATCTGAAGGATTCAAAAGAAATTCAAATATTTCCAAGTAGATCTTAATGACATGATATTTGGAATGTTAGAATGCAAAAGAAAAAATCCAGTCCTGGGCAGTGGAGTGCAGAAACGCTCATACACAACTCTTTTCTCCAAACTTATATGTTCATGTATGGGATCTACAGGGGTCACTTTCATAGGGAAGTCTATACTTGCAAGGTCTCTTCTTGCTTTGAGAGATCCTAAGGTGTGCATGTGTGCAACACAATATTTTTGTGTAACTCAGTGGTAGATTGTTCCTGGGTTAAATCTCTAGCACCTTTCCTTCCAAAATCTTAAAATCTTTGAGGAAAATTCTTTAGGGAGATTGAAGATTTTGCCATTGCAACGTAATAAAGTCACAAATGTTAATACTATTCCATTGTCCATCGTTCCCAAACCACTCTCCAATTGTCTACTAATAAAAGATCTCACTCTAAAAGCTAAAGGGGTGATGTTTGACCCGTGTTTTAAACACATATAGTAAAATCAACACCCTGAATGAGGGATCATTTCACGCATTCATACCTATGCCACATATCATAAGAGGAAAAATACCTAACAGAACAAAATGTCGGGAAGTACAAACCTCAAGTGTCTGCTCATCAGGCAAGGTCCTTAGGCAGCAGGACAGTCATCTGGGAAAGAGAAAGGAAGAAAAAATCTAGGTCTTTGTGGTTGTTCAATTGTAATGATTTGCATTTTGCAAGTGGAAGATATGAATCAAGCTGCTTGGCTTTTGGTTCATTTCAGAATTATACAGGAAGAGGAAAAGTGACTTTACCAGTTTCAATAATATTTCTTATGTTATCCTTTGGTATGTTATTCTCCACTGTCAGCTCTTCAAACTTCTTTTGCACATCTTCACTCAGCTTGTCTTCCTTAGCTGTTTTGTATGTGGGAAAACGTGGAAGAGGTTTCTGTTAGAAAGCATCCTCTGGGTCCCAGGTAGACCAGTTGATCCCACCATCTCCATGCTCTGACTAACACTACTTGCAATCATACATGGGTGACATGGGAATGTGGATAAATTCCACTTATGGAAATCATATCATCTTGTAATTCTTAGGAATACTGAGAACATTCAAGATCCATTATTTTGTGACCTCAGACATCACTAATATACATGAATTCTCCTGAACACCTTCAGGCCCTAAGTTTTGGGAATTATTCAATAATTCAAGCCAAATTCTCATTTGAACTCTGTCTGCATTTTACAGTCTATGCCTTAGTATTCTGGACCATTCATCCAATATTCAATAGCAAAACGGGGGTGGAATTAAACTTTCCACCTAACACATTAGCATCATCATCTCTGCTAATGCAAAAAAAAGAGAGATAGAGAAGAAGAAAAAGAAGAGTTAGAAACTCTCCTCCATCTTTGGAAAATTAAGAACCTAGCTCCATCTATTTCAAATGTTTGTCTAAGACCTCAAAGGTTCAAATGCATCTTTTGTTTGCTCTGTAGAAAGACTCAAATGTCTACATCCCCATCAGGATTGGAGCATCACATATGAGGGGCTGGTCTTATTAAGTATTTATTTAAAGAACAAATATGTGTAAGTTTGGAAACTATTGAAACAATTATGATAAAACCAAGGGTTTTTGGAAAAGATCACTGTGGCCATTAATAATGAACTGAGTGTACCAAATTTGACTTTTTACATGTACATACGTATTTTTTTCCATATTTTTCACTGGTGATTAATAATTTTCTATAAGGTTGGGGTTCACAATTGCACATTCACAAGTATGGGAATATAATAGGAATTTTACTTCAAAATCTTGGTTCAGTAAGTGCCCAAAATCCAGTTATACTACTGTGTATACCTCTATGAAATCTGCAGAATGTGGTCTGCAACATTTAGGAGTGAAATTTGATAGGACTCCATATAAAATACATCTCTCATTTTCAGAGAGACAATCCCTCAGTACACCCAAGTCAATGGGATCTACTGTGGGAACACATTTCTGTACTAGTGCTTTAGTTCAGAAAACCTATGCTCATACTTCTCTCCTGAATCGATAACATAGAAGAAATCACTGTGCTGTGCTTTAGACAGTAAAATCACTATATTTACCTGCAATCAGAGTATTATAGGTCACCTTGCCATCTGCATTCACATTTTTATTATAAAATAAAATGGCACCATTTGAGACATACTTCACTTGGAAGGAATTGTCACCTGAGTCTGAAAAAGAGAAAGAAACACTTGAGAAATTCTTGGTCTATACAAAAAGGATGTAAAATAAGCATATAACAGTGCTACAGCCACATCAACATTTATAGCAGCTCAGCTCCCAGTAGCCAAGCTATGAAACCAACCTAGGTGCCCTTCAACAATTGAGTGGATAAAGAAAGTGGGATCCATATGCAAAATGTAATATTACTCAGCCTTAAAGAAGAATTAAATCATGTCATTTGCCAGTAAATGGATGGAGCTGGAGAATATCATGCTAAGCGAAATTAACCTACCCCCCAAAAAAACAAAAGCTGAAGGTTTTCTCTAATTTGCAGATGCTAATTCACAAAGGGAGGGAGCTAGGGAAGAATAGAGGTATGTTGGATAAAGCAGAGTAAAGGAACTGAAGGGGGCATGTGTGTTACCCTGTATACTCATATCACAACATGACCCGTGTGATTTTACATGAAGTATAACCAGAAGAATGAGCAATTATACTCCATTACATATGATTAGATATAGATATAGATATAGATATACATAGATAGAATATAGACATGAACACACACACACACAAACACACACACACATATATAGATAGATAGATACATGTCATAAAAATGTTACATTTCTATTATATATATATATGTATTCTAAGTGTATAAGTAAGCATATATACATATGCACATGTAAATATATAGAGTTGTATTTTATTAAATCATATTGCTGTATATACATGTCATTTCTTTCAAAGTTCCAGCTATTGAACTCAGGGGCACTCAACCCCTGAGCCCCATCCCCATGCCTATTTTGCATTTTATTTAGAGACAGGGTCTCACTGAGTTGCTTAGGACCTCACTTTTCCTGAGGCTGGCCTCCAACTTACAATCCTCCTGCCTCAGCCTTCTCATAGATATAGAATTGTGTATTATTTTTCATGTTGCTTTTAACTTGAGTTCAAGTTACTTCGAATGCAGTGTGAATATTTCACTGCTATTTTTTTTTTAGTCTCATACTTCCATTGGGGATTTCAGTCTATCTGACCATAATTCTGTAATGGTGTATATATTACATATCTTTTCAATGTTTAGATAATTTGTTCATTGAAAAGCAATTGTGATTGATCATATCTGTCAGACAAGAGGAAGGGGAATATTGAAAGAATTATTTGCTGTAATTTAAGGTAGTTTTAAGTAGCTCTGTGTGCCAGAGCACCCCATGTGCGACATGAATGGGGAATATTTCTGACTCATCATTAATACCAACACCCACTTGAGAATCTGAGATGATATGACCTTATTCTAACTCTCTCTGGTGTCTCCAATGCCCACTAATTTACTAGAATTTCTAAGGTTTATACGAGCAAGTAACAACAGAAAGGTGGGGAGCATCTACACATGGCGATATGTGCAGTTCCCAGGACCATGAATTGGCATGCACACCATATTCTGGGTCATGCAGAACACAAAAGAGCAAATACTCACAATGAGTTTCATAGACACCATTAGCACCTTTGATTGCCACGAGTGAGAACTTGTGACACTCTCCGTTCAACCTTAGAAACAAAACAAGAGAAGCCTCCTTTGACTCGAGTATATTTGGAAAATATTGTATATTTGGCTTGAAGAAGAGTATGATTGAGATGGTAGAATAAATTGATGATTTCACTCTTCCATGCATTCAACATCTCCATGTTATGGGATGCTCCCTGATGTTCTATGGCAGGGTTTCTCAGCCTTGGCATTTCCTCGCTCTGGGTGGGATGGGTCAGGTTGTGTTGGAGACACTTTTGAATTCATCCTTAAAGCTAATGGATGCAATCTATTGGCAGCAGACAGAGAATGGAAAGAGTCCAACACACATGCTGGGGACTGATGGACCTTTGCCCTCAGCTCAGGATTCCAAGGGAAGAGACTTTGCTCACTGTCTCGGGGTCTCTATGTTAAGGAATGTGGTTCAACAGGATCTCAAAACCACAATCTCCTTCAAGAAAAAGGTCAGAAGACTCAATTCTGTGAGCATCATCAAGACGTCTCACCATGGATTGGAGCCCAGCTCACGTGTCAGAGGTGAACTATTCAGTTCCTCAATATGGGAACAATTTTCACTTACTTGGAGTATAAGGTGATGAGTAACTTGTCGCATCCATCAATACATTCAAGGTGACGGAGATAGACTCTCAGATCTCCACCTTGTTCGATCTTCTCTACAGGATTGGCTGCCATGAGAATGGTGTGCCAGTCCCCGGTGATCTGCAAAGGAAAAGTCCCCTGGGAATGGCTACTGGTTCCACTTTCTTGACTCTCATCCACACTTATTAGAACCACAGCAGCTGGTTTAGCTCCGAAGCAAAAAATCAATTCCAATCAGGAGGAAGCCATGCAAGCTCTGCTCTCCAGAGGTAGAATCCCATAGGATAAGGTCAGATTTCCACAGGGAGCATAGAATTAAGAGGCTCTGAAACAGCTAAACTACATCAGCAAATTTATGAGATCTACTAGGTGGCACCTTAACTTTTTATTAACTTACTTATTGCAGGAGAAATGTGATAGTCAGAGAAAAAGTTAGAATTCAGAAGTAGAGAAGGATCATCTCATGATTAGAGATATAGGTGGACTGAGATGCTCCTGAAATCCCATGTCAATTAAAATTGAGGTATTGGGGAGAAAGAGAGAAAGAAGGAGCGAGGAAGAGATCACCCCAAGATCAGCCCTTCCAAGTACCTCTGCTGGGTCAAACTGGGATGAAGCACAGATCAGAGCAAATCCAAGAGCTAGCAGAAAGGTCTTCATCTTGATGAGATCTGTCTTCCAGTCCTTCAGGAGATCAGGGTAGATGAGCAATTGAAGAGAACAAGTTTGATTCCTCTTTATGTACGATTGATGGCTTGGCATGAGCAGCAATGGATCCATTGTTTTTCATCCTGAACCTTCTGTCTATTCAATGTTTCCTGGTTGGCTTGGATGGACTGTCCAGGAGTTTCTGTCATTTAATTAATGAGATTAATATTAGCAGAAGCTTAAGTTTGACCAGATCACTGACCTCCATATAGACTCACGTATGTCCCTGAGAAAGCACAGGGTAGGCTTCAATCCTCTTTGTTCAGTTCTTTTAAACACCTGTGTGCCCATGGGTCCTGAGGTCTGCTGAACATGCATTCAGAGCCCAGAGACTTCACGTCTAGCCAAGGGTGATTCCTGCCCTGGTCTGTGTTCCCTGCATTCACAGCCCATGATCTTGCCCAAGGTTTCCAAGTCCCCAGGCACCTGTCTGCACACGTGTCACCTGCCTGGAGCTGTCTCTGCTGACTCTCCTCCTGTAGGTTTGGTAATATCCACCTCCCTTCTCCTCCAAGGCATCTGCCTTAGGAAGAGGCATTTTCTAAAGGGAGACTTTTCTCAAAGGGACAATGTTCTTTTTCTGCTCGTTAGCATTTTGTCCACCTCCTAAGGAAC